TTTCTTTTATTAAAAAATTAGGCCGGCAAAGACTCATTTTTATTCTCACCATCTTGAAGAACAAAGATTTTGCTTTCATTTAAAGTACTTTTGGGGAGTACTTCACTGTGGTCAATCTGATCGAGTCCATAAACGTATTATGCTCGTTATTTTAACGGCCCATGCTATTTACGCGTTCTTAGAGTTCGAGTAAATGAAATAGGTAGTTGACAGTTGTGAGTAGAGGGGAGCGGCGTTGCTAGGTTGCATACCATTGACCACATGTTCACAGGACAAGAAAATAAACACTTAAAACAAATATTTATAAAAGTAGCAACATCATACACTCACACTGTAAGATGCAAAATCCTAAAATTCCCTTAACCGTACATTTCAAAATTGGAAAACAAAATCCTCACCATAACAGACTAAAGCGACTGCCGCGACAGTTCTTCAACCGCCCAGATCAAAGGTACCCGATGTGGCTTCGCACATCCAATCCAGGAACTCAATGTATTCATCTGTTAATAATGTTCTTAAAACAAGGATAAAATAATTCGATTCGGCTCAAGTATCGTATTCGGCTGCTGAGGACCTTCGAGCCAAGAAGAAATTTAAAAAATGCAACAACTTGATCTGGAGAGATTACATATAACGCTCTTCACTAATTTCAATAAACATCACGATTTATACTGCGATTTATGCAAGTCTGCCCCTGGCAGGAATAAGCGGTTGACAGTTTCATCCAATTTGGAGCTTTGACGTCACTATGGTGACGTTCAAGCTCCCGACAACGTTGATGCGAAGGAGTGTCAAACCCAAGATCAAAGATTCGTTGTGATCGTTTTGAGTATTTTGGATATAGACATTCAAGGTCATGTGATGAACACAACGCGACTGGGGAAATTGAGTCACCAAAATTCAAAAGCCAGACCTATTAAGGTACCTAGAAAGATACCGACTCGGTCAAAAACATTCTGAGAAATTGCAAAAAAAAAAAAAAAAAAAAAAGGAAACAAGATCGACAATGATTTTACCCTACCACGGAGGAAAGAGCTGAAAGATCTCGGGAAACAACTGACAATTAAACAGAAAGTGATCCCTAACCATTATTATAAAGTACATTAGGGCTAACCCGAGAATTGATGACAAGATCGACCCAATAATTCTGTGTACCAATATCTCGTCTCTCATTCCTAAGTTCTTTCAATCACAGTGAAAGTAACAACGATTCGCAATCTTGAAGATCCTGAAACAGAAACTTTACGGCCGAAAGTGGAGATGAGTAGAGCTAAAGCGATAACTGGAGAAATTTATAGACCACCCTCACCCGGAACAAGATCCTCACAAACGGACATCAAAATCTTTGAACATTAGCAGTTTCAGAATTACATGAACCTGTCATAATTATGTGTGACTTCATTTTCCCCTCTATCACATGGACTGAAGACGGAGCTATATCCAGGATTGAAGCGGAACAGGAATCCCTACAGCAATGCACCGACTCATACCTTAGCCATAAAATAAATGAACTCACGAGATATAGGGAATCAAACCCCTGCAATTCTAGACTTGGTACTGGGGAATGAAGATATTATCACTCCCCCAACTCTTGAGACCTAACATAGTACAATGTGATCATCTGGTAACTGTCACTAGTTTGCAATTGGAAACACCAGAAACTGAAGACATTTCTAATAATGCCAATGAGAAGTTTAACTTTTTTAAAGCAAACTTTGAAGCAACAACAAAAAGCTTTGCAGAACATAGTGAGTCCACGACTCTGGGAAATGAAGGAAATGAGAAAGCCGAAGTTGAAAATAACTACAGAAAATTCTGTGACATATGGGTTATTATATTTATTATTATTATTATTATTATTATTATTATTATTATTATTATTATTATTATAAGTAGTGGCAGTAAAATCACTTTATCAAGAAAATAATATTCTAAAAATGAAATGGTATAAATCTTGAAATGTTAAATGTTAATTTTAAATTAAATTAAAGTAAGTCAAATGTTCAACTAATTGCTGCTAAAAATAATTATCTCATATGTAATATCTTAATATATCTGTAACAAGTATTGTATCACTAGGTCAATGACTCCATCTTGATCAGGTTTTTTGTCCTGTTTCCCTGGTCCTTTGAGCAAACGCTGAGATGGCCCCTTGTTTTGCTTCTGGACAATAAAAAATAAAAATAAATGCAACTTCACTCGCTGCTCCCAAGATGTATGTATATCATATTTGACTCGTCATACACGATTGTAATTGTATATGTGACTCAATAAATATTATTATTATTATTATTATTATTATTATTATTATTATTATCATCATTATTATATCCCATGAATTATAATCTACCTATTCACCAAAATATAGGAAGAAGAAACTTAAACAAACCATTGATCAACCATGAGATGAAAAAGCGAATCAGAGGTAAACTTAGAGCATGGCACAAGTATAGAAAAACTACAGCGGATTAACATCATGAGAACTAGAGAAGAATTTCCAAGTCTCAAATCAGACATACCTACGGATGAAAAGAGAGGAATATGAGAAGTGGTACAAAAAGGAGACAAGAGTTTCTATTATCTCAGGAAGCACGCCACGTATAAGACACGACCACTTACAATCATAAAATGCAGGGGCTCACAGAAACTGATACTGGAAATTGAAGAACACTTGACATACTACTTTGAAGAGGTTTATACAATAGAAACATTGAACCAACTTATTTTAAACTCATGTTTTTGTAGCTAAGAAAATGCTTGAAATGTCTGTACTATCATTAAATTATGAAAGCAAATTGGGGGTGTTCAGAGAAGAAAAAGAAATGAATACAAAATATTTTCTTTAAATACATGAAAAGTAGTTTAATTTTTACTATTTATTATTTTCTTTGCTTGTTTTCCTAGCTAAGTATGGAATGGTGATTGTTTGGAAATTCAAAGTATCAAAATATTAAATTGAAACATCTGAACTGAATTGACAAGGTGTGTCTTCACTGAAAGTCCATTATATCATGAAATGTTTATTTTGAAATTTGCTAGGAATGGAAATTGGTGCAAAATTCGCCAGTGTCAAAGACTATGGAGTTCTATGAGTCACGAGCGAGACAAGACCTTCAGCTTGAATTACTGATGGCAACCCCACTAACACATAAGGACTGGAATTCTCAATGGTGTCAAATTTCAAAACATTACTTTTAGATAGAAACAGTAATTGTGTTAGTATGTTAATTGATTTTTAAACAAGGAACTATGTCAAACTAGACTTTTCTGTCCTGGCTCCTTATCATATTAAGCATTAGTGAATAATATAGAGCTAAACTGTATTTACATCAATATTTAAATCTAAATTTAGGAAAAGTGATTAACTCGCATATGGATTTCCTCTAAAAGGTGTTATGTCAGTGGCATTACAAAAACATTTTTGAAACAATAATAAACCAAATAATAAAATTATAATTCAAATAATAACCAAAGCTGGTATAAAGCTTAAACGGTATGAAACATGATCACTTTTCATTGTTGTTTCTGAAGGAGTTCAATGTAGAAACGACTTTGCTTCCTCAGGAAATTGGTTGAAGATTGACGGCAGATATTTCTTCTTTTCACCAGTAGATTCTGTTTTGACGTTTCATGGTTTTATTTCAGAGTTCTGTACATTTCTCATAATCATTCCTCATAGTCTCTCATTTAGCAATATTTCAGATTTCTGCATGTCTCTTGTAATCTTTCTTTTTTCAAAATATGAAATTCTTTCCAATGTTCCTTGAAATCACTGAAAGTAGTTTTCATTAAAGTTAGGGAATGGAATTTATTGTAATAAAACAAGCAAAATATGTACATAAGTGTATTTTTTTCTAAACTCTGTGAGTAAAAAAAGAAAAATATGTAAAATAAAAATTCACAACAGTGTTTAAAATTGCTCTATACAAATATGTGACGAACATAAAACATTGTCAATCAGATCTTATCACGGATTCAAAACGGCTGCAAGTACGTTTGACCTCTACAGATGTAACTGTACACTAGTTTTCAACAGACACAAGAGTTTGGTTTATTGTATATATGATGGGTTTTTCAGCGAAGAGCCAGTCTCAAGTGAATAGTAGTACTATGTAGCCAGTGATGGATTGCGGAGGATAGGGTTAAAGGAACATACTCCAATCCCATATCCAACAAGATAAGACAATGATCTAAACAAAATTTGGCTTGAGTAGTATTTTGATTCATGGGCTCTTTGAAATATGAGTATGCATGTGAGTGGTTGAAATTATTCTGCTTCACAAACATCCGTTTATCCTTTATTCCAGAACATGATCAACAAGAAGCAGGGAGTAAGTTAGATAATTCATGGTGAAAATACAGTGGTCATAGAAGCATGATAGCATTACATTGCTCTGTAAGAAAGACAATTCCAGTAACAAATTGATTCTGAAGAGTTCTGTATCAAAGTATAAATCTATTAAAACGTACAGAAATATGTAGTTTTAAGTAAAATATGTAAAATAAAAATGGTTTTAATCCACTCAGAATGCCTAGCAAGTTACAACTGAAAGCAGGTCTTCTGTAAAATTGTGAGTTTATATGAAAATCCGTTTGCTAGAAATAATAATTTTGTTTATTGAAATTAAACCATCTGCAACAGATCGCAAGTATAAAAACTTGTTTGCATCCCTGTGCTCCACTTTAAACTTATTTTCGTTTTTTTCTGATGCCAAAATAACGTGGCAATTGACACGTTTCAGGAGGCCATGAAAGCTGGAGTTATTACTTGTGTCATCTATTGATGTAAGTTTTTAATTTAAAGAGGATGGACAGGATTGTAACGCCTTTGAGAAGAAATTGCCCTTAATTTAATGCACCTTTCAAAACAAAAATCACACTTTTGTACATATTGGCACTAACAACACCATTGAGAATTCCAGTACTCAAAGATTCACTGCCCTAATAAATCACCATCCAGAGCTAGGATCCAGGCTGTGAAGTGTAAAAAGGGCAAAAGAGAATAGGGAAGATAGTAGTGATCACTATTCAGCCTTACCTTGAAGTCTAGTCATGGAAGTGCAATATTCACATTGGCTATACAATACAGCATTCAGTGATGTAAAGGTTTCATTCAAATATCTTTCACTTCTAATTGTTTTTATTGTCTTGGTGTGTACCGCTTACACTTCAAGTAAACAATACAATTATATTTTGAATTCCACATGAAGATAAGGTGAATTATATGATACATGTAACAAACTAATTAAAATTTAAATATGGGCATTTCATGTAAAATATACTTCATTATGAAATACAAAAACTGTCTGTTCATTATTACACATATCTATTAACACCTTTGATACAAAAGTTACATATTCGCAGCAAGTTGACTTCCAGTTCTACATAAATCAGTATGAGTGCCTCACAATTTACATAAGATAAGAAAATTATATGAATAAATAAATTTAAAAAAAAAAATAAAAAAATCATAAAATATCAAATCTTGCACATGGGATAGTAATTAATTTTCTTTATAGACAAGTTTTGCTACTTTTCAACTAAAGGACAAAGCACATGTATTGATTTGTTTTTAAGGGCATTCGGTATATAATGCCCTTATTCAGGCATACATACAAAGTGGTACAGTCAACCTGAAAGAAAAGGTAACTCAGCACTGCAGATATATAAAATCTGAATAACTATATGTATATCTCCTTCCCAACATTGCAAGATCAATATAAAAATTAATTTTTAAGTAGACTATGAGGCAAATTCAGATTTTTGAACATGTCAAACCTACCACCATTAACTTCATTCTAATTTTTGAACAGTTTTTACTGGGAGGATTAATTTTATATTTTTAAGCGCTACAACAGAATACTGACTGTCTTTACTACTGTAAGTGCACATAGACATGTTTTCTTTTACCTGTGTTGCTACAAAATGTAACAAAATAAGTTTTTCAACTTCAAAGGTATTACACAGTAAACAATACTTTAATTAAATTACTGTAAAATTGTACTAAAATTATTAAAGCAAGCTGTGGCCAACAGGTGTGAACAAAAGATGAGGCACCAATGGATTGCCTGAAAAAAAAAGAAAGAAGACAATCATTCATTAGTTTTGAATAATTTAGTCACAAAAAAGGATATGAAGAGATCCGAGAGGAAACACAATACCATCTAATAATATAGCACACCAGGAAAGTCTCTCCACAAAGGCATCTTGCTGGTGAGAGTTCTTGCAACAGAAAATATGCTGCTTGAAAACCTAAATTGCATATTCACCACAATCATAATAGATGCTGGAAGTGTTATCCTCTTCACTAGTTTCCCAGTGATTTGGTTGCTAACAACATAAATGTAGTTTTTAATATGATGCTCTGATTTGGCTCAATGCAGAGATACTTTCCTGGTGTACAGTTGTTTCCTTACAACCCAACTTACCAGTTTACAAAATCACTGAAAAACAAACCAAAAACTTTGAAATGTTTCTCACGTAAAAGCATGCTCTTATTTAATTTCTTCTCCACAATTTACTTTCTAAGCTAATATTAGATATATCGCGCATTAAACAAAAAATATTTTATGAACATCACACTATTCTTATTCACATTGTCATGTTTTTTTCCTTCTTCTTATTCAAAATTTCTCATGTTTCATTGGCACAAAACCTCCCCCGTCTTAATATTATACCAGAGGCGTAGTGTGCTTTTAAAGCTACATTTTAAGGTAAAGCTTGCTTGTACTCATTTGTATAATACAATTTCTTTTTGGTCTGGGCCTAAAAAAATTTTTTTGTGCCCTAGGCCAAGAAAACATGCACATATGTACGTGCACGAGTGCATTTTTTTGGCCAAGGGCAAACCCCTTTTTGCTTTTAAAAGTGATTGATTTAATGTTTTTTTTAAACATATTCCTACTGCACCACTTACCTTGATGCAGGAGAACCTTAAATAATAAATAAAACATTGTTATATGTTAATTGTTACACTCTACTTGCGTTATAAGAATTGACAACACTAATAACCAGAATGATTATAATTTCCAAAACTATCAACATTTGAAAATTTTGTTCTAATGAATATTTATAATAGAGTATACAAAATATTTGTAAGAACCTTGGCCAAAAAGTTATGTATTTGTATTTTCTGTTTTACCATGCCTTCTTTAACTCCGCTCCTCCTCGGACAATGAACTCTTTTACACTTCGACTTTGATACATAAATCACTATTTTGAATAATTCATCATTCAATGAGGGCTTCAAGTATTTTCTGGTATCTTTTTCATGCAATTCTTATTCCAATAATAATGTTTTTTCCTTCTTATTCTGAATTTCTCATGTAGTCTCATTTGCATAAAATCTCCCCTGTCCTAGTACTAGACCAGTGGCATAGTGTGATTTGAAACGCTTTGAAAGCTTTTATCACTCCCATCACTTGTTAATTCAATTAATTTCTGGGTTGCCAATTTTTTTCATTTATGAAATATTTTTTTATGCTTTTCTTATAATTATCGTCATTTCATTCTATTTTTGTGCATTCTTTAGTATTTCTCAAGAAATTTATTTCAGCTACTTTAAATCTTAATTTACTTTACTTTTAATTGCTTTATTAACTCCAACCTCCACCATGAAACTCATGTTATGAAACACGCTTAATTTCAAATTATCAACTTCACAATAAGCCTTTAAATGATGAAAAATTGTGTAAAATTGTTAAATAATTAAAATTATTTTTGACTATCCAATTTTTTGAGATACATGCCATGAACAGCTAGAGCATCAGTTCTTAGAAATTTTCATTCCTGTATTGTCAAAAATTAAGATTTTTGTAGATTATTGATACATGCAAAGTATTAAGAGACAAGTTTTAATGCAGGAAAGCACATTGAACATGTTGTCGGTTGTTAGGTATGTTTTGTGTATCTGTTTGAGTTTTTGTGACTCATAATCAATGGATATATGGAATGTATCTCTCACCCAATGAGTAATGGGGGTCAAGCAGCGCATCTGGTGATGCATTCTCACATCAGATACTTCAGACAGCATATAGTGATAATGTAAAATATGAAATGCCTTACAAAAGCTTTTTATAATACAAAATTAAATTAAATGAACTATGATTTGAATTTTCCCATATTTGTAATACAGTAGAGCCTCGCTAATCTGAGCCCTGCAAATCAGAAATTTTGGATAATTTGAACAACATTGAGGACGGAGGAAAAATTAAGAAAATAAATAAAACACTTTTTGTATTGTAAAGAAAAGATTTTATAATTACTGTAGAACTGAACAACTAATTATTGAAAAGAAAGTTGTTAAAATGAAACACTTATTGCACTGGTAACTACAGTGTATATCACAGGATAATTGAGCAGTAATTTTTATTCAGAGGAACTTGCAAAATAATTAATAATCTTTCGCCATTAGGAACTGAATCTGCTTGATAATGCAATGTGATGATGTCATGGTGAGATCGCTATACTAAGTGGTATTTTCTTACATCGCACACTACATAGCATTGTCTGGCAATCCTATAGATGTATTTGTATATGTACGATACATTTTCTTGGATAATCCGGACAGACCACACCCGTAATTAATTGGAAATACCGGGGTCCTACTGTTGGTATACAATAGATTGAAATACAATTGTTATACATCAATTCAATTTCCCGAAATGACATATACGATATTTGAGGAATCCTGTAACAAAAACAAGGAGAATACAGAAGCATTTTACTCATTTTTCACAACTTTCTACTACATTCTGAATTATAGTTAAGAGAGAAAATAAATTACGAATAGAACGAATAGACAAAATTTAAACACTGAAGCTAGCAAATAACACGAAAATACACTAAACTACTTTTAATTTTGCAGAGCATTCAAAGATTAACCCCAAAAAAAGCACATTTTATCTCTTTTTTGTTGTAATTTACTAGTTTTACAGTATATATTTCATTTACTAATTATACAGCAAAATTTATCCTTTCTCCACAATAATTCTAAATGTGTAAATTAATTCTGTTTTGAGATGCTCCTGAAAAATTACTCAGATTTTAAATCACCGCTATTGATTGCCCATAATACTTTGCATTAATACACTATCAGGCAAGGTATTGCTTGATCTTGCTTGGCCTGCCACTGAGATAGGAAAGACATTCCAAATTGCTATTGGTGGTGAGACACAAGAAACAAAATTATTCAAAAATTCTTAACTAACATTTGAAAAATGTAGATAATTGTTTGTGTTATTTTAGAGCCATCACGAGAGGCTCAAACTAAATCTAATACTTCTATTTGAAAACACAAGAGTTAGGACCAATAACTCGTAAAACACAAATGATAAAAAAGTAAATAAAGTGCACTGTTCCATCTCTCACTGCTGTTAAAACTGTAATGCAGTCTTCAACCATTGAAAAATAGAAAGAGGTGCCCAAGTTACACCCCCCCCCCCGGACATTTCATTTTAGACAACTGTGATGGACTACCATCATTTTTTATTCCTCTATTTATTTTTATTTCTTTATCTCTCTTGAATTCTGTTTACAATCCGTTCCATATGGAGTATTTTCTAACACACAGACTAAACATTGGATCCATATTAACTGTTATCTTCTTGAAGCTTTTACTTTCATATTTCCTAAAACTGTACAGTAATTAAACAACTGGATCACCTTCTACATTTCACTTCCCTGATGCAGTATATTCAAGAATAAAGCTGAAATATATCAATAAAAGTTCTATCAAACATTATATAAAAATGAATTGATAAGTTTGAAAAAACTTTGCACAGTTTGCCAAAGGCAGTTTTGAAGAATATTAATTAAGTGTGATAATTCTAAAATGCTAAATGATTCCTGCTATTCAAGCAAATGCCCTTCCATTCCTGCAAGGGATAAAAACGCATTTTCACATTTCCAGTATAATCCATGACGCATCAACAATTACAGTACAATCCATGACCAAAAGAAATGGAAGGTTCTATTTGATTTGGAGAAGCACTTTTAGTGGCTAACAGTCGAAACAGGTCCTTGTTGTGATCGATGTATACTTGTGGTAGCTGAAAATAAGGTACAACTTAAGAACAATACTCTATTTTCATTGATGAGACCAACTAACCTTTCATGTTTGATAACTGCAAAGAGCTTCAGGAAAGATGGGACAATTGAGGTGGTACCGAGATTTTGAATACTGACATAAATGCTCAACGTGTAAAGGATTTTTTTTATTCAAGGACTTATGCTGAATGAGAAATATTTTCACAATATAGTATTTATTTTATTATAATCACACTATTATTATTATTGTTCTTTAACATTAATAGTTCCTAAAACCCATTTCAAAGTACAAATAACATTTCAAAATGTTATGTTCTTTCTAAGTATGAGGTCAAATCACCATGTCTTCAAGATTGCATATACAGAATTGACAACTTAGCTTGAATGATACAGACTACTCCTCTCCATCCCTGTTTTTTTTTTTTTTTTTTATATATTTACTAAAGGTTTATAAATAATACCCAAGATACAACGTTTCATCTCTTGAAACTCTTATATGCACCTTCAGGTATATGCACCTTCAGTAAAATAATATTTACAATTAATTTGGTTTCTTCTGAATCATAAAAGAATTCAAAAAGAAGTAGATTCATATTTGAGTCGGTCTGCATTATATCTTACAATATAGAACACAATTTCCCTAATATTTTACGATACTCTTATTTTTCTTTTTTCATCTAGAGTAAAAGGAACTTAAACATACATTTTTATTCTAATCTCAGTTTACGGCTTTTGAAAATATTGCAATGTTGAAATCCATAGAAAATTATGCTTTATATGAATTTAAAATTCTCTTCATATAATATACTGATGTTTGAATGTTTAAAAAGGCAGGGTTCTTCAAACTTGTGTACTACTGTATTTCAAACCCTTTCCCTCTTTCAACTTCAATTCATCTACAATTTTCTCTTATATTCTTTGGCAAAAGAAATAATATTTAAACAATGATTTTGCTAGTAACAATTTCTATATAATAAAATACAACTTTTAACTGATTTTCATAGGTTATTGTGTGTGAGTG